ACAGAAACTGAGGTTCACCAGTTCATTCCACAGGTCCCACTAAACTTCCACCAAATCTCTGCTTTAAGTCATTACCAACTTGTGTTGATTCATGTCAGCAGTCTAAGGTGGAAAGGCTTGTGTCTTGCTTCCAATCCTATGTGCCACCCTTAATATGACAATATCTCAGCCCAGGCAGAACATTGCAGGGAGGATGAAAAAAATCAGTCACAGTACAGAGAAAAACTTTTTCTTGTCCCTAAATAGAGAACTTCATGTAAATCTTATGTAAATGATAGAGAATTAGGAAGGAAGGAACATGCTGCAAGCGGACCTAGACAGGTTAAAGGGGTGGGCTGATGAGAACAGGATGGGGTCCAACACTGACAAGTGCAGGAAGAACCAGCAGCACACCTACAGGCTGGGGAACTCCCTTCTCGCCAGTGTCGAGACAGAAAAGGATCTTGGAGTCATCATTGATGCCACAACGAACATGGGCCAACAAAGTGGGGACGCGGTCAGGAAGGCCAACCATACCTTGTCGTGCATCCACTGATGCATCAAGCAGGTCCAAGGAGGTGATCCTCCCCCTCTATGCGACACTGGTCAGGCCACAGCTGGAGTACTGTGTCCAGTTCTGGGCACCGCACTTCAGGAGGGATGTGGCCAATATGGAGAGGGTCCAAAGGAGGGCCACTCGCATGATCAGGGGTCAGCAGGGCAGGCCCTACGAGGAGAGGCTGAGGGACCTGAACCTGTTCAGCCTCCAAAAGAGAAGGCTGAGAGGGGATCTAGTGGCAGTCTACAAACTAGTCAAGGGGGACCAGCAGACATTGGGAGAGTCCCTGTTCCCCCGAGCACTCCCCGGAGTTACAAGAAACAACGGACACAAGCTAGCGGAAGGTAGTTTCAGGCTAGACATTAGGAGGCGCTATTTCACTGTCAGGGCGGCTAGGACCTGGAACCAACTTCCAAAAGAAGTGGTGCTGGCTCCTACCCTGGGGTCTTTAAAAAAAGGCTGGACGAACATCTGGCCAGGGTCGTTTGACCCCAGGACTCTTTCCTGCCGTGGCAGGGGGTCGGACTAGATGATCTCCTCAGGTCCCTCCCGACCCTACCAACTATGAAACTATGAATTATTCCCTTCTTTCTGGCGAAGGTATGTCTTACTGTTCCAAAGATAAAATGTTCTTGAGCATCCTCTGCCCAAGGAAAAGGAAATGAATTTCATAATTGATTTCTGACTATGTGCTAAGTTCTGGCCATGGCTAGGGAGATGGTCAAATGTTCATCCGTAGCCCTGTAAAGTGCCTCAGCACTTTGTAGTGCTACAAAAAATGGAGCATGATGGGAGCATTCAGATGTTTCATATCCTGGTTGGAGAGTCACAAAAGTTGCCTCAAAGGTGCACTTTCCATCCAGGAGGCAACAGGGGGCTTCTCTTTTGTTGCCCCTGCCTCTGGGGGAGCCTGTCAGTGAGCTCCATTACTGATAGCGTGCCCACTCCAGCAGGCTGTCAGAGGTCAGTAGCTTTTCCTAGCATTCCTGTGGTGGTGGCAGTGGCAGCTCTTCCCACTTCTGGCACCAGCACAGGACCAGGGCTTTTCCAGCTGTTCCCCCAGAGTCCGTGGCAGAAGCACAAGTTGTTTTTCCTAGTGTCCCTACAACAGCAGTAGCAGCTCTCGCAGCAGCAGCAGGAACAATTTCTGATGCCCACAGCAACAGAGGCACTGGCTCTTGTCAGTGCTCTTACTGCAGCATGACAACAGGGTCCTGGCAGGCCTCCCTGGTACTTCACTATGGCAAGCTGTCAGGGAGTCTTCTGCTCTCCCCCACCCTTTGGAGGAGGCTAGGGAGAACAGAGGACTGGGATGTTGGGAGTCCAAGGTTCCCTGACAGAACTTTATGCCATTAGGCAGATGTTGTCCTACAAAATTTATTGATACAAACAAGTTCCTTTTTTAAAGTAGTGAATTTGCCTTCTTTTTTGCTCTACAGATGGTGTGCACATCTGTACACCAGCTTTTTGTAGCATTACAGTGGCATCTGTAGCATTTAAATGTAACATATGCCTATAGCCTCCATAGCTGCCCTCTAAATGTTTGTTGACTCCCTATTTAACAGTTGCTGCCTATGTATAGTTAAAATGGGCAGAACTCATCCCTTCTGTGACTCAAGTGAAGTAGGGTTCAAGAGACTGAAACAAAGAAATATTTTCTTTTGAAATGCCTAATGACTACCAGCTGTAGAATTTGCTTTGCCTGGCTATTATGTTCTGAAGCATGTTATGCAGATTTTTTATCAGAGCCTCAGCAGATGCTTACATGAGAACTAAACCCCCAGTTACATTTGTGTCTGCTGGTATTTGCTTAGGGCTGCTACTTTCAGATTTGATGAGCACCTGCACTCCATTTGTCCTCAGCATTTGAACTTACTCTCAGTGTTCTTGTTCTCATGTATCTCTGGTGAATACAGAATCGTTAGAAAAGCCATTCTTAAGATGGCACCTTAAAATGAAGTCCTTCCTGCCTATTGAAGAGCTGATCCCTTGCCCTCCAAGCAACCTCTGTAAACAGTCTTACTGGTTTGCTAAATTTAGAAAATGCTTTGGAATGAAAATGTACTTTGCATGTCTGTGATGATCAAAGCAGCAGCATTGGGCCCAGATGGTAGTTCAAGGTCTCCTAAAAGCACTTCTCAAATGGAAGAAGCACAACTGAGTTCACTGTCATGACTATTGTTTCCCTTCTCAAACAGTTTTAGATGCCACATGCTGATCTGCTTGCTTGCGTGATCACTGATCACAGCACTGCTGGTAATGAAAATGTAACTAGCCTGTGGTTCACTATATGGTCACACACTAGTTTGTTTTCTGACTAATTATTCTAACCTTAGCTTGTTGGCTTATAGCCTCATTTGAATCTAATGTAGCCATTTAGACCTGTGCTCATATTTGGAGCTCCAGGCATGAATGCATTTTGTACGGTGCAGCTTACTGCAGTAGTAAAAGCATTGCAAGACATGTGAGGCTTGGTGGGGATATTCATAACTTACTTATGAATATTCTGAAGAGTCTGGAGGTTTCTTTACGTTACAGTGCTACTGCTGTTACAGCTTTTCCTACATAGCTATGTTATAAGAGTCCCCTAGTGGAGATAGGATGTAAGATGGAAGAGGGTTTTTTTTTCTATTGACACATTCACACCATTTCTCTGAATGACAACAAAGCTATCAATAGATCTCTTCTGTCAGCATAGCTGTGTGCCACCTGGGAGGTTTTCCAGCATGCCAGTTTACAATGAGCAGTGATCGTTTCACACCCCCAACCATCATAGATATTTGAACAAACTTTGTAGTGTATCATAGAATCATAGAAAATTCGGGTTGGAAGGGACCTCAGGAGGTCATCTAGCCCAACCCCTGCTCAAAGCAGGACTGTCCAAAACTAGATCAACTAGAATGAGAATAGTTTAGCTCCATCCTCTTTGGAACCACCCTTCAGGTAGTCGAAGGTTGCTATTAAATCCTCCCTTGGTCTTCTCTTCTCCAAATGAAATAAGCCCAGCTCCCTCATATGTGCCCCAGCACCCTAACCATTTTCATTGCACTCTACTGGAATCTCTCCAAATTGTCCATATCCTTTCTTTAGTGGGAGGGGGTGGGGGGTGCCAAAACTGGACATAGTATTTCAGATGTGGCCTTACCCATGCAAAATAGATGGGAATAATCACTTCCCTTGACCTGCTGGCAGTGTTCCTACTAATACAACCGAGTATGCCATTAGCCTTTTTTGCAACAAGGGTACATATTCATCTTATTGTCCACTGTAACCCCCAGGTCCTTTTCTACAGAGCTGCTGCTTAGCCAGTCAGCCCCCAGCCTGTACTGGTGCTAATACAATTCTGTGGTTAGCTTATAGTTAGTATGTTCAGAGAATGATCACAGCATAAATCTGGAGTTGGTTTGTTTTTACTATATTCCTATTTGAAATAAAGAGGTGACTTTTTATATTCATCACAGCCATTTTTGTACTTTTCCCCTGCATAGTTCCTGGCATCTGCTCTGCTCGCAGACCTGCCAACCTGTTTCAGATAAACAGTCACATTTTGGTGTTTATCAGCTACGTGCTAATCCTCATGCATGTAAAGTACATTTAAATGAGTTCTGCATTGCTACAGGCAGAATTGTGCCCTAATTTTGCGGTTTTATGAAAGTTAAATTACAGTATTTTAAAATATTGATCTTTTAAAAACATTAGCATGAGAAAAATGGGAAAGAAGTTGTTGGAGTTTTCATAGGAATTCACCATGGGTTCATTATCTGTTCACATTTTATCTTTTTCTCTAAAAAAATACTTTAATTGTTGCTGTTTGCTTAAAAGCTGAAGTGGATGCTTTTCCCTTGAACACTGACTCCCTGATGCTCCGATATTAGGAAATGTCCTCTTGCTCAGGATAGAGAGAATGGCAGCCCAGGAGTATGTAATAGAAAAGTGCCTTCTCTCTTCAAAGTATAAAAACACTAATATCTTTGGACGTCAGAATGGGGAGATGCTTCTTTTTTCAGAAGGAAACAGGCACTGGTACTCTAAAGACTGCATAAAAAGAAAGATGACACTTCACACTGACACCAGTGCTGGATAAGGGATATTCACGTTTGATTTTTTTTTTAATCTGAATCTCACAACCCTAGAAAAGAAAATGAAGCATTGTAAAACTATGATAAAAGACATGAACATATGAAACTTGCTACAGGAAAAAGTGTTCTTTTGGTTAGCTGAATAATGATAGTGTTTAGAAGGAGTCACTGCAGTTTTTAATAGAGAAGTATAATTATTTGTATTAAAATCAACATCATTGTTTAGAAGAAATCATAATGTTTCAACAAAGTGAAAAGATTCCAGGGTATCATTAAATAGAGTAAGGGGTTTTGACTTTTTTATTCAAAAGGATTTCTGAATGCATATCATTGAAGTTATAATACAATTATTGTCTTTATTTTTTCTTAATTTCTCTTCTTAGACTATTTTGAGGATTGTGGTTCTTGGCATATGGGATTATATTGAAAACAAAATAGAGGTAAGTGAAAGTACCACAGTCAACACTGTTTGCATTATTTTTCAGCATGGCAAAGTAAGAATAATTAACTGTTCCTGCACTGGATGATTTTGATACAGGAACGGATGCAAAAGAGGTATGTTTCCATTAATATTTGCAGAGCCTTATGCATGTTCTTCCCAACACAGTAAAATTAAAGATACAAATTAGTTTCTGCAGTGGATATGGCCTTATTTGACTAATACAAGTTACAGCAGCATTTAAACAAATCTGTTTTCTTGCACAGTTATATTGTGGTTTTTCCTGACTTGTGTAGACATGAGTTTATTTTTAATAACCATGCTAATTAGACTGTCAGCACTGCAATTATAACTGAGACTGGTTACCAATATGATCCAGAATTACGTGAGCTGCAGCTAACTATGTTCTTATAACCAAGATACATTAGAACTAGTTTGAAAATGTTTGTAAAAACAGTGTTCTGTTAAAAAATGCTGTTTTGACTGAAACAAGTTTTGTGAAATTGTATTAATTTTGATGAAATTTAAGTTTTGAACAAAGCGGAAGAAGGTTTGAAGATGTCAAAATGTCCTATTTAATAATTTTTAGAATAAAAGGGTTATTTTTCATTACAAAATTACTTGTTTAACGTTTTTACTTTATTTTGTATACAAAGTTTTAAAAGAATATAAAGGACTGAAATTTAATAAAACATGCAAATGTATTCTGTCAAGTAAAGTAAGGTGATTTTTTGAATTTCAGAAAATGTTGGCTTTTATCCTGAATGAGGATTATTTAAAAAAAATATATATCAGACCCTTTCATCCAACATATGTCTATTTTTTGTCTAGTTCTGATTTGACCCCTAGGTCAAATCAGAGTCCAAGGATGCTGCCCATTTATAGCAACACTTAGACATTGTATATAATGGCGTCCTTAGCCATATTGTTAACCCATCCTCAGACTTGATTATGTTTTGTTATGTAGGCAGAGCTTACAGACACGTCCCCTTCCACCCAAACAATCTTCATTATAGTTCTTTAACAGACAATAATTTCTTGTCCATTCTTGTCAAAGAAACTATGTTAAGAACTTGTTAGCGATAACTGTGTCTAAGAACTGTATACTTGAATCAAAATCAGGAACAGATAGGGCCTTATTATATCTACCTAACAAAACGATTATTAAGAGTGTACGCTGCAAAAGTACAACAGTATTTAATATACATTTTAATTTAATTATGAGTCGGCTACATTTTCCTACAGTTCAGAGACCAAAGACAGTACAACAGAAAATGTTATCCCCATTCAGTTCACATAGTTACATAAGACGACTTCTCACATCTGACCTTCACACTGAGAAAAAAAGCTCCCATTCCCACAAGTGGATTTTTTTCCCTTATATACATTATTCATAGTTTAGAGAAGCTTGCCTACTAATTACATTGAGAAGCTTGCAGAAAGCACAAAGAGGAAACAATTGGCAGCAATTTTACCTCGTTTTTCATACAGTATTCCAGAGGCAGACAGGGAAATGCATGTGTTAAAGCATCATAGAACAAAACCCGAACCTAACCATAAATCCCAAAACCAAAAAAATGGAAGACTGCTCTGAAAGAAACAGAGATTAATAGGATTCCACTCGTCCGTCCAGATAGCAATCTGAGTGGTTTAAAAGAGAGGGAAAGA